CAGATAATTGACGGTCCGCGTCGGTTCCGGGTAGTACATTTTTGACATTTCTTGGTTCTGCACGGGCCCGGGTCCAACTTTCAAAATAATAGACGGGTCCGGGTCGGTTCAGTGTAGCACATTTACGGGTCTCTTCGGGTTTGGGTACAAATTTTTGGACCCGTGTAGACCTCTAGCAGGATACAAATGCACACTTCAGAAGATCTCACAGCTGGATTCGACTAAGCTTGCAAGGTTTTTGAAAGCGGTGAACAAGAGGGAGAATGTGAGCACTGTGTGTTCAGTCGCTGCCGTTCTCCACGCCGTCAAAATAAAAGTCCCGCCACGAACGCATCGGCCAAACAGAAAAACTTATCGGCCGATGCCGATATTTGAAAAATGGCAAATATCGTCCGATATATCGGCCTTGGCGATATATCGGTCGACCACTACTGAAAACCTAAACAACTGATAAGCTAAAGAAATCTTAATAATAATCATACCGAATGCTTGTGCAATTAATTTTATTTAATATCACTCCTTATGTAAATCACAATATTCTGCATTATAGTAATTAATTTGAATATCCATTATATACAAAATAAAAGATGGATTAGTTGCATACATATGAAATAAAAATGTGCACCACACACACGTCATTAAATTGATCAAAAGTGACAGTAAAGACAGTAATGTGACAAAAGATTTAAAATAAATGCTGTTCTTTTGAACTTTCTACTCAACACTGAATATTATGTAGCACAACTGGTTTTCAACACTGATAATAATAAGAAAATTTACTTAAGGAATCAAATCATCATATAAAAATTTCTGCAGGATCATGTGACACTTGACACACTGGAGTAATGACAGGAATAAATTACATTTTAAAATATATTCAAATATAAAAGTTACTTCAAAACTCAGTGAACATAAGAGGCATAACGTTCAAAAACATTAATATATATCTAAATAGGGCAACTAAATAGGTGATCTTTCTCAACCACTCAGCTCCATGACTCACAGCACGCTCACAGCATTTCCATTCTATAATTTTCCCTTGAGAAATCTCTGATGAGGTCTAACTGACCCCAAGTAGTCTGACAAGTCACTCTAAGGCATTTGCTCTAATGAAGACATTCAATTCTTCTTTAAGCACTGGTTCTCCTCTCCATCAATGAATGAGGTTCATCCATGACAAGAATAAGTAACAAAGTCAGAAGAAGAAGATGAGCACTGAAATAATGTTTAAACCTTGGAAACGTTTGAGCTTCAACAACAATGGAATGGAGCCACATAAAAAAAACACTTGGAGCGCACAGACTGTGTCGCTTCTTCATAAAACTTTCAGCGTCCTAGAGCTAAAAGCAACCACTACAACACGCCTTCCCTTCACACACGACTGCATGTTCATCCCAGCATGGGTTTCCCCACATAACATTCTTCTCTTTCGCAGCAACCTGACGTTATGTACAGCTATAGCCAAGAGTTCTGGGGAGATCCCTGTGCTGGAGTCTATCAAACATTAAAGGAATCCTTGAGTGTGTAGTGGGCTTGAGACCAGGTCTGTCCAGTCAGGCAGAAAAACACCCTCCCCTGTGCTAGCTGGTGGGTGTGCAAATGGAAAATCCTTAAGTTAGAAAGGAACCTATTATCACGGATTATGCAAGCAGAAACACACCATTAGCTGCTATAAAAATCCATATATTAAGCCTTTTTTCTTAATTTCAATTAGGGCTGCGTTTACAATATTGACGAATCAGTTTTTTTCAACCTTAATTTTGATGAACCAATATCAATTTTCTAAATTCCAAAAACAATCTTTTTGTCTGAGCTGTTGTCTGTGGATCCATGAAAAAAATGTGTCCACCATCCAATAATCACAAAAAACGTTGCGCTTTGCTACTTTTGAAAGGAAACAAAGTCTCAGCTTTCGCATTGTTAATTTGAACACAAACTACAATGAAATATCACAAAAACAATAAATGAAGAGTTTGGTTCCAAAACGCGATAAACGCCATTTTAAAAAAAATTTAGTTTCCGCCAAAATCAGTATTGTATCTGGTCGGTATTGAAAAGTCAATTTTTAATTTTACACAAAATGCGTCATGTTTTCTCCCTTTCTTTCCAAACCGCGACAAACGCCAGTCTCCCTTCTCTGTAGAATGTGATATATCCGCTCAACCAATCACAGCGCACCATTCCACGAACTGTAAACAGTAACAACCAATCACAGCGCACCATTCCACGAACTGTAAACAGTAACAACCAATCACAGCGCACCATTCCACGCACTGTAGACAGTAATGGACAGCTTTGAATAGGCCTACACCCGGCATCCTAGTTTTCCTCATCTACTTTGTACTTTGTGATCAACAAACAAACTTAGGGCTGCACGATAAATCGCATGTGATTGTCATGCGCATCTCGTCAGTAAAGCCGGTTCTGTGAACAGTAAATCTCCATCACGTGCTTTCAGATGTAGCGGCATTTAATACACAGAGCCGTAGATCACTGCTATATCGCATTCATAATCGCAGATGAGTCGCATTCGATTATGAACGCGATATTGCGTAGCTTGTCATTTTTAATTTTACGCAAAATGCGATATCCACTGAGTTATTCTGTCATGTTTTCTCCCTTTCTTTCCAAACCGCGACAAACACCAGTCTCCCTTCTCTGCAGAACGCGATGTATCCGCTCAACCAATCACAGCGCACCATTCCACGCACTCTAGACAGTAATGGACAGCTTTGAATAGGCCTACACCCGGCATCCTAGTTTTCCTCATCTACTTTGTACTTTGTGATCAACAAACAAACTTAGGGCTGCACGATAAATCGCATGTGATTGTCATGCGCATCTCGTCAGTAAAGCCGGTTCTGTGATTAATAGTAAATCTCCATCACGTGCTTTCAGATGGATACACAGAGCCGTAGATCACTGACAAGCTATGCAATATCGCGTTCATAATCGCATATGAATCGCATTCGATTATGAATGAGATATTGCGTAGCTTGTCAGTGTAAGTGTTTTTATTAATGCCATTTATGTTTTTGTTAATACAGCGTATAGGCTATAGCACTAGTCAACAAAGCACAATTGAACTTAAGCACAGTTGTGCTCACTGGACTAAAAACTGGACTATTTTTAGTCCAGTGCCTGTATATAAGATTACTGACCAAGTTCAGAGGCTGTCATATGTGGATTAACCATGTTGTGTATTTTCAACAGTTTCAATATGAAAAATAACTTTTATATTGATTCAATGAATTTATTGCATTTTGGAAAAAAAACAACAAAAAAAAACGTGTCATGGATTTAT